ACAAAACAACACGAATTGGTTCCAAATTGATTTATGGGTTTAATGGTATTAATTAAAGTATTTTATCTATCCTATTCATAGAAAAATCTCAAAACTTGTTCATTCGTATTGTTAGAATAGATTGAAAGTGTCAAATAATAAAATTAAAGTTGACATACGTAAAACACGCAGGTTTGTTTAAAGACACTGATGGCCTTGCTAGATAATACGATTTTTATACAAATGTTTAATATAAACCTCAAAACAGATTGGTATTTTTATGATTAATTTTTTTGTATAATGACAAAATATTCTTAATACAATGACAACGCCACCCCTAAAATACTAAATATACCTGGGTATGTATCCTATAAAAATAATACCACATTATAGGTTTTATAATTTTTTCAGTCATTTTAGTGTAAAGTTTTTCGTATCGGCAACCCCGGATTTGGTAATCTTTGACGGAAATTTCTCTAGTTGCCAATGTTAGCAAAAGGGAGCGTGACAGTAACATTAATACACTTCATGCGATTATTATAAATCACTAATAAAATACTTTTATTTTGTACAAAAGCATGTTAATATAAAATTATCGTATAAGGCTCGTGTAAATGTCGTATACGCACTTAATACGTTTGTGATGTTTTGAAAATAAAAACGTAACCTTAGTTTTGTTATTTAGTCCGGGAAACGCACAGCCCCCTTTATTGTCATTATTGCTTTTATAGTTTTATAGGCATGGTTAATATTAAATGAAACAGCCCAAGCTCGGATTTGTTAATTTGTTTTACAGTTTTTACTGGTTTCAGTCAATATAGCATTATCCTCATCATCACTAGTTTTAGAGCATTGCAGAAACCTGGGCTACTACTACTGCTATCATTATTGATATCTAAACATTTGTATTCTTGATCAGACTCACGACTACGGTATATTGGCTGATTCTTCAGTGCAGTCCTTACTCGGTCCTATTATATCAGCATTAACTTTTTGGATATATTGTACCCTAGTAATTGTGCTACTCAAAATCTAATAATTTGCTTTAATTTTTTTTCGAAAGTATCCGCTTTTCTTCCGATTTTTCCACGTACTGGACATTTTAAGAAATTAAAATGAAAAAGTTAGGTTAGACTAAGTGAGCCTAAATAATCAAATCCTCTTTTAAGATGTTTTAATTTTGTAAGAGATTTATAAATGTTTTCCTCTTTTGCAACAGTTATAAAACTGTTATTTATATCAAATTATCGCCGAGTATAATTTGTTATATTAGAGAGATTATATAATTACATATAAAGTTTCATTATAAGCATGTAATAAAAATTGTTTGTAATTTTTGTTTTATACGTATCTGGAATATAAGTATGAAAAACTTATAAAATATATTACACTTAAGCAAGAATAATCATATAAGGAGTGTTATACAAATATTTATGTCATTACATTGTTCTGTTTTTAAACATTATTTAAAAGTAATCTTATAATTATCTATATAACAAAATAATAAAATATATTACTCTCTGAAACATATTTATCTCTTGGGCAACAGTTATATGTTAAATTAGTGCCTATTGTAGCATTTATACGATAAATATAAAATAATTCTTTTATAATCATGTCTCCGTGCTGCTTGGGATTAAACCTCAATACATTAAGAGAGACAACATCGAATGTTGGCGAATATAACTTTATTACAAATTTTTTTAATATTATTAAATAGATGTTCGGAAGAGTCGTCTGATTCAAATCCATTTAAATTTTAGGAATGTTTTCCAGCAGGTTTTTTCCAATTCCAGTAAATTGACTGGTTGTAACGCATCCTGTTAAAGCATGGAAAGCAGGTAGGTGTTTCTTTAGACTGTCATTAAGGGATATTTCATGAACTGCCACATAAAGAGTAGAATTTTCGATTCGTTAACAAAATTTCGCTCGGAAGAAATTGTTTAAAATACACCACAATAATAAACACATCGGTATCAATAATGCATGTAGAAAAACCTTCAGTTTTAGCAAAGAGTGCGTGAAGTAGAATTCTAATGTTAAATATTGAATTAATAAATAAATTCCATTGATGAGGAAACGGGACGTTTATATTAGTAATCCTCTTTTTTGACGAGTACATCTTTAATCGAATTTTCTGTGTAATGGTCAAAAACAATGTCAATTCGTGGTGCTTTATATTTGTTTTGAAATACAATTTTCAAAAACATCAGAATATTCCTTAAATGTTTTAGCTTTGGCTGGCTACTATGTCTCCCTCCTTTTTTTGCAAATTATTCATTGTTCTTAATATTTTCTTTTTAATTGAACCAATGCATGTAGATCACTTTCTGAACTAGATGTGTAATCGGTACTTTTCATTTTAAATTTGAAATACGACTAAAAAGGAAAAGTAAGACCTAAGCAATTTAAATGATACATAGAATATTTTTTTTCAAATTCACACGCACTTTTGCACTCAAGTTAGTCCTTCTTATAGTAATTACTTGATTCTAGATCGGAAATTTTGTAATAAAATAACACTTCAGACACTTAAAATTCACCAGTCGCTATAGTCAAACCACGATAAAAGACAATAGGTGTTTCAACTTCCCTAAAATCCCATATAAAAACAAAAGACGATATGGCACCAAACAACGTAGTTCCAAAAAATTCACCAGAGGTCGTTAAAAGGTGAGGTACCCTATTCGATCATATATTGATCATTAAGAGCTAGATAAAGTATATTTTAACATTAACATGTATCCAACTTCAAGATTTGGCCATCAGATGATTGGTCAATCATTTTACAGGTTATTATACTAATGTTCACGCAGCATGACATATACTATATTTATGAACAAATATAATTGTATTTTATTTATAACTCTAATAATTTTGCAATATTATTTATTAACTTTAGTTTAAAGTAATGCTTTTTTCATCATTGTTGAGGCCTAGTTATTATCTAGTCTAGTTATTGTTGATCTTAGATATGAATAATGTACCTGTCAAATTTTAATTTAAATATATCAAAAGTTGAAATGGACAAAGTAGAAAAAATAATAAAGACGATAGTAATTGCTTTTATATTATTTTGTAGATAAAGAAAAGAAACGAATAAAGGTATAAATGTGTTCATTTTATTAGAATTAGCAGTTCGACTGTTAAGACATCATCCGTATATTATAAATGTAAACAAGAATGGAATGATTGATAATTTGTTCTTTTTTTACATTTATAATGCAAGCTCTTGGCGGATACTTATAAAATTTCCACACTTGAAAAGACCTACCTTTCCTTCGTTTTTCTTTATCAATCTGTGTAGTTACACCTACAAACCTTTGATTTATTTTGTAAATAATTAAAGTTGTATAAGTTAATGAATCTATTGAAAACAATCCTCTGCGTTTATATTTAATAAAAAGTTTATTATAACACTTATTCATATAGGTAATTAAGGTTTACAGATCATTTTTGTACCTACCCTTTTCATCAATTTGCCTTGTAAAAAGCACATTTTATTACAATTAGGAGATCCCTCCATGTGAAATTGTTTAGGACTGGTAATAAAATAATCATGTATCTTTGGAATGTGTTTATTAATTATCTAAAATGTGGCAGTTATAATTTTATACCTACTCTTCTGTAAACATAACATCAAAATGGCACTTAACACTTATTTTTTCAAAACCCATTTCAACAATATTTACAATTTTGTAGGAAAGAATACACACTATTTTTATTATTTAATTATTGCTGTCTTGTACACTAAAAATGATGAAAAATAGTAATGTTCTCACTTTGTTTTGATGAAATATATGGGTGGTATGTGGTATAGTATTTTTCTTCTCATTTTCACTTTCCATATCGTTTGTTATATAGAATATTATTAGTAGACATTAATAAATTACCATTATTTAAAAAAAAATTGGATACCGACGTATTTTTTACTCGATTAAGATAAAATTAACTGAATTTTTCTGACAGTTCGCAGTCATTATTTGTTTTCATTTGAGGTACTTCATCTTCTACCGACATCTAGTGGATTTTTTACATACTATGCTGTTATTGGTGCCATATTTTAAAAAGAGTTGAAACACCTGTAAAATGTCATTCACCGGGAGTCAAACTAAACAGAAAAATTAAAGACCTTTTACACTAGGATTGTAAGACAAAGTCAGATATACAATATAATGATATGTTTAACAGAGACAAAGCGAATCAGTGGAAATACAATACCCGATTTTACAATGGTAGATCGTCCCGTGGCCGCCGTCATTGATTCGTGTTATACTAATTGCCATAAGTTGATTATCTTAAGACAAAAAAATATGGTTGATGTTTTGTTATGATCTACACACATTTTAGAAACTTTTTGTGTTTAGAAAGCTTGTTTAGCTAATTTCGTAGTGTAGATATAAAAAGTACAATTTTTTTCTTAGATAAAACCAAGGAAATCCCATTTTTAGTTTTTTTGTGCCGCAAGCCCCAATGGTTTTTTAAATGTTTAAAATAATACATTTACGTAACTGGTAAAGGGGCTTTTTTGATTTTTCGGTCATATTGTAGGTAAAGTTATGCCTTATTAAATGGCACCAATATCTCGTTTTTTGAAAATAGTGCACTTCTGCAAGGTCTAATTTTGGATTACCTCCAGTTTTAGAATCTTCAAAATATTAGTTTTTAATTCATTAACAATTCAGCTTGTGACAGTAAGAATTCATTTCTAGAGCGCTTTTGTTACAAATAGCACCATACTAATATACATGTTACATTGCACTAACAGCATGTTGCCACTTTCAACCTCCGATAACCTACCAATTGAAACTCAGGGCTTAAAAAAATAGTTTACACTGACGTAATATATTATTTTTGAGGCTATTCTAGTTCGTTCCTAGCACAGAGTTCGAATCTCTTTCCAGTTCCTTGACTAACCAATTTTTAGAAACTGGCATTATTTAAATTTCGGTATATGTTACTTTTTTCGTCTCTTTAATCTAACAATTTAATAATTTTTTTTTCTTTTATATAATTTTTAGGGTATGCCAGCTTCTTAGACAACTTAGATGACATTGTGATTCAACCGAATAATGTTTCAATGACATGTTTGGGCGCGTTCTTCTGTGAACAACTGAATGCTTAAATAATAATTATTAATACTTCATTTATTATATATATATTTTATGTACTTCGTTTGGTTATAAAAAATAAATATATAAAACTAGTGTAATATTTACCAATAATTGCTTTTAATAATAAAAATACTAATAATAAAAACTTAAATTAATTTAAAATCAAGTGCAAAATTATTCAATGATGTAATTTGGATGAACAACCACCAACGGATCTTCTTCTTCTTCGGTTTGATCTGAACCTTTTAATCCTACCCGGGTCAGAGGAATGATGATTTGGTCCTAAAAATATATAACAATTTAAAAAGGGTATAAAAAAGCATATGTAAGAATTTTTAATATGAAATACAATTTTTTTTCGTATCGCTTGTTTCTGAGAAAAAAATTTAAAAACCGAACATTTGTTAATCTCTAAACATATTCAAAAACTAGAATTCTAGAAACATTTCAAAAACGTGACAATAATTTTCTAAAATACAAATTTATCAATGTACAAGGCAGCACATATTATATATGATAATTATATAAAAGTGATATTTTTTTTTAAGTTAGAAATGAAAAAGACAAAAAAGAAAGTTTGTAGAATTTTGTTATCATGTGCCAACATTGCTATATTCTAAACCGTAACAGTTACAAAGATGATTAAATGGGAAAATAAGTTGAATATTTTGGGGGACATTACAATGGTTGCAAAAAATCTACATTCTCGAGTTATACAGTGAAAACTAAAAAAATGCAGTTTTATTAGCAAAAAATGGAAACTAAAGTTTATTTAATACGAAATTTGTTGAAATTGATGAAAAGCCATCATCAATCATCTTCAATATCTTTGTGTATTAATTAGTCTACTAGAATGTTGAAGTTATCGAAATTTAATTTTCATATTAATAAAATAAACTTTATTATGGAAGTTTGTAGTCTTTCCATTAAACAATATGAAAAACTCAAGAAATAAAAAAGTAGTATGTTTAGATATTTAGATGGTCAAACAAAAAAAAAAAATTAAAAAAAATCTACTGGATATTTTTTCCGTGTAAAAACAACCAGACTTGCTCCGTGAGCACGCCGCTGGAATTACTGGATCAGCTGTGAAAGATACCTCATCAAACTATTAAAAAATTGTAAAAATCTCACTAAAATCGGACAAAGCGTTCTTTACATATTAAAAAAAAAATTTTTTTAAAGAAAGTATGTAGAATTTTTTTTATCATGAACCAACATTGGTTTATTTCAAACCGTAATAGTTACGAAGACAAATGAGAAAAAAGTTGACTATTTTTGGGAACCTTACAGTGGTCGAAAAAATCTACAGGGTCCGCTACCATTCTCGAATTATACAGTGAATACTAAAATATTGTTAAATATTATCAAAATAAAATATGTAGCAGTTACCGCTACTCTGCATTGTCCACCTCTAATTATAAACTGTCAATTGCCAAAGAACAATAAAGTTTAGTTCATGCAAACAAACTGGAAGCACATTGTTTTCTTTGCCTCCATCTGCTTTATCAGGTTATGAGCCCGGTTCAACGTGAACCACGTGTTCGGTAGTGCATAGTAGTGAATATTGCAGAAATGACCTCAAACTACATTGTGAGCGTGCCTAACTTAAAAGGCCGTGAGAATTATAGCGATTGGGCTTTTGCGGTCGAGAACTTTCTAGTGTTAGAAGGACTGGCAAGTAGTCGTAGATAATGATGCCAAAGCAAAAGCTAAATTAATCCTGACGATTGACTCATCGCTGTATGTCCACATAAAGGACGCGAAAACTACGGTAGAATTATGGGCTAAGTTAAAAGCTTTTTTCGATGACTCCGATTCACCAGGAAAATTAATCTATTAAGATACTTAAAAAGAATGAAGGATGGTATGGTGGATGGGCTGGATTACACAGGTGATGTGGGAGACAAATCGACATGCAAAGTGTGCTGTGAAGGCAAACAGAGCCGATTACCTTTTAAATATGCAGGTAAACAAGCCAGAAATATCCTAGAGATTGTGCATGCCGATGTTTGCGGTCCAATGGAAATTAAATCCATAGGAGGATCAAAATATTTCCTAATACTAGTAGACGATTTTAGTAGAATGGGTTTTGTTTATTTTTTAAAATCAAAACCTGAAGTTTTCAATAATTTTAAGAATATGGTTGAAAACCAATAAAATTTAAAAATTAAGACATTCCGCTCTAACAATGGTGGAGAATTTTGTAGTAGTGAATTTGATATTTTTTAAATAATTGTGGAATAATTCACCAGAAAACAAACCCATACACACCAGAACAAAACGGGATGTCAGAAAGATGAAATCGCTCACTAGTTGAGAAACCAAAATGTCTGCTATTTGATAGTAATCTGGAAACGAAATTCTGGGCAGAGGCTGTAAATACAGCCGTTTTCTTGAGAAACAGATCTGCAGTATCAGGATTAGATAATAAAACGCCTTATGAAATTTGGTTTAAACAAAAGCCGATGTATCCTATTTAAGAATATTTGGTGGTCCTGTATGGTGCATGTACCAAAGGAACAAAGATTAAAATGGGATAAGAAAGCTAAACTACATATTTTAGTAGGGTATGGGGAAAATGTTAAAGGTTATAGAGTCTATGATCCCACTACAACTGGTAGAAATGTAGTAATAATGGAAGATACTAAAAACAAAAATATCGATATAAATACCAGTTTTAGTGGGAGAATCCGAAACATATCTAGAAATTTCAGAGCAAACAAAGGAAATAGAAAATCTAGAAATAAGTTCAGAAAGAGAGGATAGTGGTGACAGTGACTATACACCAGAACAAGAAGAGGAAGAGTCTAAAGTATTAAGAAAATCAGAGAGAACGCCAAAACTCAAAAAATTTGATGACTATATATCTGCTCAGGCAGCACTGATTTAGACCATGACCCAATTACTCTTGAAAATGCTTTGTCAATGCCAGATAAAGAAAAGTGGCAGCAAGCAATGGTGGAGCTACAATCCTTTGAAAACAATGAAGCCTGGGAGATTGTGGATGTTCCAGATAGTGGCACCATAGTTCAGTGTAAGTGCGGTGTAGAGCAAGGTTAGTGGCAAAGGGTTTTACTCAACTATATGGCATTGGTTATAATGAAACCTTTTCTCCTGTTGTCAGGCACTCCACGTTAAGATTATTAATAACATTATCTGTAGAATTAAATTTAGAAATAGTACATTTAGATGTTGCTACAGCTTTTTTGAACGGTTTTTTAAATGAAAATGTGTATATGATGAAACGCGAAGGTTTTGATAAAACTGATTCGGAAGGAAAGGTTTTAAAATTAAAAAAGGCAATCTATGGTTTGAAACAATCTTCGCGTGCTTGGAATAAAAGAGTGGATGATTTTTTGTGTAATCTAGGTTATACAAAATCGCAGTAAGAGCCTTGTTTATATATGAAAACCTTAGACAGTCTTTTGACAATAATAACGTTATATATTGATGATTTCTTTATTTTTTCCAGTGAAATGAATCATTTAAAACATGAGTTAAGTTTAAAATTTAAAATTAAGGATTTAGGTCAAGTTAAGCAATGTTTGGGAATGAGGGTGACTATGAATAAATCTAAAAATGTTATAACTTTTAATCAGAAGCGTAATATAGATCAGTTATTAAAAAAATTTAATATGTTAGATTGTAAAGGGGTAGCGACTCCAATGGAAACTAATTTAAAACTGACTAAAGCAGATCAGATTAAAATTGATGTACCCTATCAACAGCTAATTGGCAGTTTAATGTATTTAGCAGTTTTAACTAGACCTGATATTGCTTATCAAGTGAGTTATTTAAGCCAAGCCAAAGACAGGAATCTCACTGAGCTTAGATAAACATGCGACAGTATTCCAGGTAGAAATAGCAGCAATACATCACTGCGCAAAAGAAGTATTAAGACAGAAGGTAAATGGAAAAACCATTGTCATATACTCAGACAGTCAAGCGACGTTAAAAGCACTCAGTTCCATGCAGGTACACTCAAAGCTTGTGTGGGACTGTTTGGAAGCCCTAACAGAGCTGGGTAGTCAAAACAGACTAACCTTAGCGTGGGTACCAGGCCACAGGGGACACAAAGGCAATGAAGAGGCTGATTTACTAGCCCGAGAAGGAGCATCAAATGCTCTTATTGGCCCAGAACCCTTCTGTGGTGTAACAAAAACAACTATCAGAACATGCACAAAGCAGTGGATGGTTAAAAAATCTCAGGAGTGGTGGGAAAACTCACCAGGACAGAGACAGGCCAAAAAGTTCTTAAAAGGACCATCGTCTAAACTCACCGAGCATCTACTAAGCCTTAATAGGAAAAATACTAGAATACTAATAGGTCTATTAACAGGGTATTGTAGGCTTAACAAACATATGTTCAATATCGGTCTGACAGAAGAGGCCTTGTGCCGATTCTGTCAAGAAGAAGAGGAAACGGCAGAACACGTATTGTGCTACTGCGAAGGTCTAGTAAGACTGAGATTCCTTACACTTGGAGAAGAAAAACCAAAGGCAACTAGCTATACCGGAGAACTACTTTCCAGTCTATGGAGTTTACTACAAAAGACCGCATTAGACAAGGTACTCTAAACAATGATTAAAGGATATCCACAATAGATCTGAAAAGGTCGAGGTGGGGGAGGCCACATGGCCCATAGTCCTAATTAAATCTAATCTAATCTATTTAAGCCAATTCAAATAATTATTACTCTGAAGAAAATTGGAATTGTTTAAAAATATTGCTTATGCATTTAAAAGCAACTAATAATTATGGTTTGAAATTTGTTAAAGAAAATGCAGAGTCTAGCTCTAGATATTGGCTTTGAGCTAAATTCATTTCACTTCATTTATTTATTTTCGTCTATAAATTGCCCGCCTGGTGCTTTTTGGTTCCACCTAGTTTTCTAACTGGGTACCACAGCGCATTTTGATTTTGCTTACTAAGAACAGATGGCAACACCATTTCACTACTTGAATTCTTATTCTCTTCATAACCAACTTTATGGTATACTGGTGAAATGTGTAGCATTTGTTAATTCCATTAGAGACTGGAATTGAGAACCTATCTATTTCTTGCTGAGGAGTCCTAATAAGGACGAAACCGGTCCAAGAATGATGTTCTCTTTGGTGAGCAAAATCAAAGTAGAGCGTTGAAAATTAATTTCTATCTCTGCTCTTTCCTTCGGATGTAATTCAATGCCTGTTGCGGTATTAGCCAAAGGAGTAGTTGTTTTTTTAAAGGGGAGACGGTCGTTGTATTTTGTGTGATATTGGCTTTGAGCTAAATTAATTTTATTTCATTTACGTCTATCACATTTGAGTTTTGATTTATTTTCGTCAATAAAATTATTTTCGAAATATTTCCATTTCACTGCTGGACTCTGTTTAATAATAAAAAAAGCGAATTTTTCTAAAAGAAAGTATGTAGAATTCTTTAGTGCATGCCAACATTTGTATATTTTAAACCATAACGGTTAAAAAGACAATTATTAAATGAGAAAAAGTTGACTATTTTGGGGAACATTACAGTAGTCGAAGAATCAATCAACTTTTACCATTCTCGAGTTATACAGTAAATACCAAAAAATGTGTTTTTTTTTTAAATAGCAAAACATGAAAAAAAGTTTTATTTTATACGAAATTATTAGGATTCATGAGAGTAATCATCTTCAATATCTTTATGTATTTATTAGTCTACTAGAATGTTAAAGTCGACAAAATTTAATTTCCATAGAGCTCGTCAATGAACTATGTTCTTTCTTTGGCGTATATACAAATAGAAAAAATGTATTTTTAGATGGTTCATCTACAAAAATTTCAAAAATCTACTGGGTGCTATTATTTACACAAAAAAATACACCCGACTTACTTACTTACTGAATCAGTCGTAAAAGATACCTCATCAAACTATTAACAAATTGTGAAAATCTCAGAAAAATCGAACAAAGCGTTCTTTATATACAGTGGTGAAATGGGAAAAGTTTTAGACAATTCTGTAATATTAATAAAAAAAAAACTATTTTTTTTTTCTTAAAGTATGTATAATTTTTTATCATGTCCCAACATTGGTATATTATCAATTCGAAACCGTAGTGGTTATGAAGATGATTAAATGGGGGAAAAGTTGACTATTTTGGGGAACATTACAGTGGTTGAAAAAATCTACAGGGTCTACTACCATTCTTGAGTTATACAGAAAGAACCAAAAAATGCCGTTTTTTTTTAATAGCAAAAAATCGAAAAGGAAAATTTTATTTGATACCGTTTGATACCATTCAATCGTGAACCTAATATTTCGTTTCAATGAAATGAAGAGTTGCAGGATTATTAAAAATTTTGTCAAGCATTTTCGGCATTTGTATCATCATAGGGACTTTGTCAAGAGAAATATAGAAATTAGGATCAACATAGTACACATGTGGATTTAATGTTAAAATTGAAGGGCTTATTAGAATAAGCCACAACATTAATTTATTAAGGAAACACGTATTCAAAGTTAAAATAAACTTCTATAACTACTACAATTTTGTTAAAATACAATAACTTGATTGTTCGTCTAATTATGATATTTCTTGGAGAATTTCCATTCGGTTCAAGCTTTTGCAACCTTATTTTTAATTGTTATGAAGTAAAAATGTCTTTATTTTAAGTGTAGTTTATCACGTTTTTACAATAAGCCCTTCAATTATAGTTTAACATTTGTTAAATCCAAATTTTAGCTATGTTGACCTCTCTTGACAAAGTTTGCTGTAACTAAACTTTCTTGTAATAAAATTAACTCACAGAATAAATAAGACGATCCAGAACTTTCTCAAACATATCTTTCTTTTCGATCAATTCTTCTTCGTTTTCTATCTGGTCAGCTACTTGGTTTAGGTACCATTCAACTACATCGCTCCTATGAATTCCTTCTTTGCCCTCTAAAAAAGTTATTCAGTTGAAATGACAAACTTCAAAATAGCTATTTATGTTACCAGTTACGAAATACATTATTTTGTGTAACAAATGAATATTTGCGAAAAGATCAAAGCGAAATCCTGCAAAATGAATGTGTTACCCGAAACAGTATTTCTTAACACATTTTTTTTCTAATTTTGATTAAATTATTTAAAGAATTGTGTCTATAAAAATAATTAAACATTAATTTTTTGAAGTTTCAATCAAATATTTTAGAAAATGAATATTTGAAAGTCATGTGCCGTCTCTAAGACGGAGCAGTAGCGGTGCCTTGAATATTAATTCGAAGTAACATTTTTGGATGTGTTTGTAATAATCATTGTTTCAAGAACAATTTTACGAATTTTAGTGTTCTCCTTAGACAGTTTACAAATTGTTATTAATATTAATTTAACCAAAAATAGAAAACGCCAATTTTTTACATACCTGCTTCCATTCTGGTTTCTTCCTTCCTCATATGCACAACTATCATATTACTTATCGTTTTGTACTCCTCAAAACTCAACACCATCTTCTTTTTCTTGGGAGTCTGAGAAGGTTCGGGAGTATCAAGTGCGTTCGGTTCCTTATCACCAACAGCATCCTCTTGTTCATCGCCCAACTGAATATCGGGTTGCTCTACTCTAATGATGGATTTATTCAACAACCGGTAAGCTTCGCGAACGTGCTTCGGCTGCACTTCATCGGATATATCCATTCTAGCCATAGCTTCGGAAAGTCGAATCATGCTTTCCAATTGTCTCACGGTTATTCTCCAAGTCGATTTTCCCGTACTGGTGCTATCTCTCAGTCTCAATCTGTTGTAATAGTGAACTAGCAAGTTTCCCGCTTCTTTGTTTATAATCGGTTTGAATTTTTTAGCGAAACTGATGTATTGCAAGACTTCTTGTTTCGTGTAAACTTTTTCTACGCTTTCCTCGATGTTGCAATGCAAGTCTACGATTTTTCTTGCGATGGCGTAATCTATAACTTCGTTACATTCGTCTACGAGGATGAAAAACAAATCGAATCTGGACATAATCGGAGCTGAAAGATTGATGTTTTGTTGTAACGATTTAGCGCGATCGTATCGTCCTCCGATGGGATTAGCTGCGGCTAGGATCGACGTTCTAGCGTTTAATGTAGCTCTAACGCCCGCTTTGGCGATAGATATGGTTTGCTGTTCCATAGCTTCGTGAATGGAGACTTGGTCTTTGAGTTCCATTTTGTCGAATTCGTCTATGCAACAGACTCCGTTGTCTGCCAACATGAGAGCGCCGGCTTCGATGACGAAGTCTGACGTTTCTTCGTCTCTTACGACTGCTGCTGTTAGACCAGCTGCAGAAGAAGCTTTACCGGACGTGTAAACTGCTCGAGGGGAAAATTCGGAGACTTGTTTCAAGAACTGGCTTTTGGCTGTACTGGGATCTCCAACGATGCAACAGTTTATGTCTCCTCTTAATGAAGTACCTGTGAAAATGTAATTTAAATTTATTTACTGTAAAAGAACAAAATCAAAGATATAAAATAGATACTACGTAAGATAATCCTGAAGAGACTACTCATAATGTTATGATATCTATTTTCTAAAATAATACATCAATGCGAGTTTGTTTTTTATTAAAATATTACGATCATAAACTTTTATAGCCCAAGATCCAGCGTTGCAAATGAAAAAATTATTGCATCAACTCTGATTTGTAATTTAAATGCTTCTTTTCAGGTATTCATTTAAAGATCCAAGCGTCAGCTGTATCAGTATTGGTGGACATGATGGTATAACATAAAAAAATTGAAAAACAAAAACAAATAATTTCATCAAACTTAAAAATGTGTAGGACTAATGTTTGAATAATACAGAATTAAAAAAAAAAAAAAAATAAGTCGGGAGTATATAAATTAAATTGTAGTAGTCATTCAAAATTGCATATTGGTCAAACAGGCCTCACTTTCAAAAAACGCTCTTCAGAACATTATATTAAAAATTAAAATAATTCTACTTCTTCAAATCGTATTTTGGCTGAAAATCATTCTTTTTAATTTTTATATAACTTGTCAATAAACAGTGTTATTGAAAGTTTGTAGTTTCTTCGATGTATATCTAATAAAATGAAAAAACTTAAGAGCTAAAAAAAATTGTATTTTTAGATGGTCCATCTATAAAAAATATTAAAATTCCTAAAATTTACTGGGTACTATTTTTTTGCGCAAAAAACTGCACGCCTCTGGAATTACTGTAAAAGATGCCTCATTCAATTATTAACAAATTTCTAAAATCTCGGTAAAATTAGACAAAGCATTCTTTATATATTAATAAAAAACTAATATTTCTTAAAAAAAGTTTGTAGAATTCTTTTATCATGTGCCAACATTGGTGTATTTATTCTAAACCATAGTAGTTTTGAAGACAATTAAATAAGAAAAAAGTTGACTATTTTGGGGAACATAACAGTGGTCAAAAAAAAAAACTACAAGGTCTACTATAATTCTCGAGTTATATAGTGAAAACCAAAAAAATTGCCGTTTTTGATACGATTCTTTTTAATAGCAAAAAATGAAAAGATTATTTGATACGAAATTTGTTAGAATTTATGATGGATAATCTTGAATATCTATATGTATTTCTGTGGCTAGAAGGCAAAAGGGAATAGTCGATTTTTTCGCAAAATAAAATAAACATTTTTGATTGTACCGTTACTTTTACAACACTTATAAAACTTACAGTTATACAGGGTGTCTGTAAAAGGTCTTTACAAAAACATACCACATATTCCTTAGACCAAAATAAGTCGATTTAAGTAAAATTACCTTAGTACAAAGTTGCTTCGTTTGGGATCCAGAGGGCCTTGAATTTACAATTTTTAAATCGTGTTTCCCATATAAATTTAAAACGGAATATGCGATTTTGCTGAAATTTGGTATATTGGTAGAGTTTTATGTGGCAAAAAAATGGTATTAAAATTTTGTCCGATAATAATACATAGGCGTAAAACTTGATTTTTTAAATAATTGCACCTTTAAAAATTCTACGCCAATGCAGGAAAAGGAGTTTGAGTATGAAATTTAGATTGCGCAACTCATTTAATTTAAAAAAGGTACTCTTGATAAGACTCGATTACTCTCATGGTTTTGACGAAATTTGCATTTTAGTAATTTTAGAACAAACAATAATTATTAAAATACAAACTTTGTCAAAACCATGAGAGTAAATCGAGTGTTATCAAGGGTACTTTTTTGTAGTAAATGAGTACCCAATCCAAATTTCATACCCAAACCCCTTTTCTGCCATTGGAGTAGAATTTTTAAAGGTGCAATTATTTAAAAAATTAAGTTCTACGCCTATGTATTATTATCGGGCAAAATTTTATACGATGAAAAACATAAAAATGTACTTTTTTCATATCTTCTTCAACACCTCTAATCGAGACTTTTAACAAAAATACTCGATTCTTGCCATGTACGATTTTTTGAGGAATATTAATTATTTGCCTGCAATACGTAACCAAAAACATTTATTGTTGGTTTCCATAGTTTCATCTAAATAAAAATATTGTCAAGTTTTAACACCTAATCTCTTGTTAACGATTGAAAGTGTTCTATCTGACTCAATAATTAAAAAAACAAATGCGTTGTTTATTAATATGGCTGTACAATATACCAATGCAGAATATACCGATGTGTTACTGACATTAGGATTTTGTGAAGGAAATGCTCAAGAGGGTGTACTCTGAAAGATTTCCAAATCGTTGTGTACCTAGCCACCCAACTTTTGATGCTGTTGAGAGACGTCTTCGGGAGACCGGTTCCTTTGCTCCCAACACTGTTGATAATGGAAGAGAACGTTTTGTAAGGATTCCTGAAGTTGAAGAAGATCCAGAATTAAGCACCATACGAATTGGAAGGGAACTAGGAGTAAGTAAAGATGTCGTTCATAAAGTGCTTAGAGAACAATTGCTATATCCATACCATAAGAAGCCAGTACAAGAATTATTAGTCCATGATCCTCAAATTCGTTTGGGTTTTTGTTTTGTTAATATGCAAAGAGAAAGAGATCCAAACTTTGTCAAAAAGGTTCTCTTTACCGATGAAGCACGTTTTACAAGAAGAGGTATAACTAATACCCATAATGAACATGTTTATGCCGTTGAAAATCCGCATGCAATAAAAGTAAACCATTTTCAGCACGAATTCAAAATTAATGTGTGGGCTGGAATAATTGGTAATTTCATTGTTGGTCCTGTCATACTTCCACGAAGATTAACTGGAGAAAATTATTTGGATTTTCTACAAAATACGTTGCCAGAATTGTTAGAAGATTTACCTCTCCAACTTCGGAGAGATATGTGGTTTATGCAAGATGGAGCTCCACCACATTTTTCTTTAAACGTTAGAAACCACTTGAATGAACAATATCCACACAAATGGATAGGCAGAGGTAATGACGCACCTGTAAACTGGCCACCACGTTCCCCAGACCTAACACCGATGGATTACTTTTTATGGGGACATCTGAAATCCACAGTTTACAGGGAACCTGTAGAAAATGAGGAACAACTCTGGCAACGTATTCAAGATGCAATAAACAATCTTAGAGGTGATGAAGAAGTTATGGAAAGGATACATTTTAATTTTCTTCGACGTATAAATCTTTGTATGCGTGAAAATGGTGAACATTTTGAACAATTTTTGTAAAATCTCTATTTTGATTATGTTGTAAATAAATATTTTTGTGAAACCTATACACTCTAAATTATTAAAACCGAAATTTAGCGAAAACCATGAGAGTAATCGAGTCTTATCAAGAGTACCTTTTTTAAAGTAAATGAGTTGCGCAATCTAAATTTCATACTCAAACTCCTTTTCTTCCATTGGCGTAGAATTTTTAAAGGTGCAATTATTTAAAAAATCAAGTTCTACGCCTATGTATTATTATCGGACAAAATTTTAATACCGTTTTTTGCCTCATAAAACTCTACCAATATACCAATTTTCAGCAAAATCGACTTATTTTGGTCTAAGGAATATGTGGTATGTTTTTGTAAAGACCTTTTACAGACAGTATACCTGATTTACAAGTACTCTTATCTTATGTATGTACCAAGTTTAGTACTTTAGTAAAAATACTATAACATAGTGGCTTGGGAATGTAAGATTTGAAAATATTATTGTTTTCACACCATTTTCTGTTGGTGGAAAATTAACTTTATCTTTTTGTTAAGTGCAATTTCTTATTGCTATTGCTGAAATTTTGTTTTTAGTTATAAATCTAGCATTTGTTTAGCTCCTGCCATTTTTAAATCCATTTCTGATTCTATTTTTTCTATTGAAATAACGTCTAACTGGATAGGCAGAGGTAATGACGCACCTGTAAACTGGCCACCACGTTCCCCAGACCTAACACCGATGGATTACTTTTTATGGGGACATCTGAAATCCACAGTTTACAGGGAACCTGTGTTTCCTTTTTTCTGTTCTAATTACGTTAACGGCCCTATTTATATGCATTTGGTATTCATTCTAATTATTTTCTGTTTTTTCTTGTGAATAATTTTTATATGCAAGGTCTCTGTACCTTGCATGGCAGCTTTTACATTTTCATTCTATCATTTTTTGTATTTAGGAAATATTTTTGTTTTTTTGGCGCTACAGAATCTAATACGTTTAAAATATTTGTTACAAAATTATAATATTTTGCATTAATGTCATAAATGTGATAGTTCCATGCTAATGTTGAAAGTTTGTTATTAATTAAATCATTACCACTGCTTTCAATTTCAAAAACATCACTATTTAATAGTACATTTATTAAAAGCATAAAATTATCTGAAACATCACAAAAACAAATCAACAAATTTTTTAAATACAAAATTTAAAATATTTTAAAACATTCAGTTCACTTTGTAAAATTAAGCACCCCTACTTTCACTGTCAACTCTATAATTTTTGTATCCGTCAATGTCTATTTTTAAATCATAAATATCCTCAGTCAAGCAAGTTTCAGAAACATATACTAAACTTGGTTTTTTTGACAATACATAATTAGAGATTTCATCAATGTGGGCCACCAAGCTCTTAGCATTTAAATATAATATATTTATTGTACTTTTTAATTTTGATCTTGAGTTTGAGACTTTGTGGAAAAATCCTTATTCACTGTGGGTGTGATAGATACAGTTCATCAAATTTCTAGAGGCTTTCGACGGCTAGACAGAGAAAGCACTACTGCCGACGGATTTACGCAATGAAAGTACACTCTGCGCATCAAGTATTTCACTATTTCATTCAGACGTAAATTTCGCTAAAACATTTCTTTTATTTTCGTTTGTGTTTTTTGCTCATTACAGTTTAATAGAACCTAAGTATGGAGTTTAATAGCAAATTAAGAGGCCGCGTGATTAACAGTCAATCTCGCGAAATAATAGCCAATGTTATAGAGTTTATGAGAAGAGAAGGAAACTTTAATTCACCTT